ATTCATTTTTTTGTACGAAGGAATAATTAAGTGAGTGGGTGGCCTTAACAAGTGAGTGGCCTTACTGCGAAGTAAGGAGATTCATACTGCAGAGATTCTACTCGCGTCAGGTCGTTTTTATAATAGCTTTGGGTAATTAAAGACCTCGGCATATATGATGATAACCTTAGCAATATCTTGTGACACCATGAGATAAATCGAATCTGCCTCAGAAACTCTCAATTCAAGAAATTTGGACAATATGTCATAGATAAGTGTTTGCTCAATTTGAGTGTATACAACACATTGCTTCCTAACAGCGCAAAACTGCGTGAAAAATATTTTGCATGTGAAATGTTACGTGTTCCTGACACTGTCATCACAAGAAAGGTATCATCAAATTTTGTTTCTGGGAGTAATATTGTCATAATTTAATGCTGAAAAGTTATTACATATTAATTGTTACCATGTTATTCCGACTTTGATTTCGACTCGCTTTACTATTGCCCGTCTATTACATTTAAACCAAATAATTTAGCCAAATTTAAAACCTATCTACAACACAACCACATCGTAGCCGGATTCTTAGAATCTTTTACTCTTCCAAGTTCTTCTCACTATAGAAGGGGCGGAGATGATACAGATGGAGATGTAAACTGTTGATATCATTGAAAGGAAATCATTAAAAGCTTGGAAGGGAATCGTCCCATGGCATTTATTCATCGTAATTATCGAGAAAAATCTAACAATGTCTGCTCTATATTCATTGATTATGGTGATCCTTTCGTATCCGGACAAGAAGAAATCTAAACATTTAAATATATCGCAGTAGTAATTTGTTTCTTTCATTTCTTGCTTCATTCAATTTGCTTAAATCAACTGAACTTTCTCTTGTGAGTACGAAAATGTAGAGCAATTAAATGAAGAAAGCGTGAATAAAACGGTTATTTGCCTTATTTGGGCTCATCCTCAATCTTTTGGAGAAATAAAAGAGCACTGCTTTCTTTTATTCTTTCAGTCTGCAAAATATTAGTAACATACTTTGTTGATAAAACCTGTGTATCCATTTAGTTCTTTAGTTTTGATCTGAACGTAGCCCAGATTTGGAGATTTTCAATCAAATATTCAACAAAATACTTATCTCGCATGACTCTGAATTTTCCTGGTTTTGCTATGATTAATGCCTGTGTAGGGCAAAATGTTCTCTTCAAACTGAAATGAACAAGAAAAGGAGAAATGAAGCCAAGACAAGGAAGGTCAGAATTAAATTGCACAGCAAGTTTAATAAGTTGTGGAGAACACTGTTTTCGATAATATATGGCAAAGGAACTATTTCACTTCTTTTAATCGCCCTTTATCCACTGAATCCTTAATTGACCGTTTCATAAATGACCAACTGCTTTCTGGTTTTGTTATTTAGTACGTTTACAAACAGGTAAAATAAGTTGACCGGCTGGAACAAATTTCATTCAATTTATCATATTTTGTCTCTAACCCGTTTCCGTATTCTTACTCTTCAGGAAAAAAAAAATGTTCGTTTATCCAAAACATTTCATATGTCAATGCAACAATGAAACAAAGCAGTTGACTACAAAGACTCATATGATTTTAAATTGTTTAAAATTTTTAATTTGTGCAGCTCTATTCGCATGACATGTTGCTCTATATTTGATTTGTTTGTACACAAACTGGCATGCGACACCATTGTCCTCTTACTGATTCTCCTATCAATTGCTTCATCTCTTATGTTTGTTTCATTCTTTCTACCCTCTAGATGAGTACTATAACAAATTAAACGAATCGGATCCCTTTAAATCAACTTGCATCTGAAAATTTACTGTTATCAATTGTTGTGCTGAAGATTTCTTTGCTGTTATCATTTGCAATCATACTGAAATTTCTCTTACTTTTGTATACTTAATTGTTGCCGAAACGAAGTCTTCCTTTGATAAAAAGTGTTGGTAGAGTAATCACTGTCTAAAGCATTGCTCTTTTTTGAAACACCTCTGAAGTGGCCAACTTGGCCGCTATTTAATTTACATTCGAAGAAAAAAATACCGCTTCTTGCTCTTACTCGCAATATAGAAGCAACGAAAAATGAATTACATAACATGAATTCCTGAAGTGATACTGAAAAGCGATTCACCATTTTTGAGTTAAATAATGCTTTGAGATGAAGAGGATATGTTGCGATTTTTTTCCAGAAAAAAATTGTTTATTATTTATGGCGCTTTCTGCTTACCTGCAAGCAACTTTCTCTAAGTAATACCATACTTGTTTTGGATTAAATTTACTTATATGATCGGGTTAATCTGTGCAAAGTTAGTTTAAAATAACTGGATAAGAGAAATTATTCTTTCACCTACTCACCAGGTACATTCTAATATTTGTTGTGTACCGTATCTTTTTTCCAACTTAGCATGTTTCATGCAAGCATTTTAATGCTCGAAATAATTTCAGATATTTATTTCGAAGTTTTTTTAAATGCTAAATAATGGAAGAAATCATTCAACTAAATAGAACATTCATGCAAAAGAGGTATGGTAGCTTTCATTCTGCGCTACCACTCTTACTTCTTTCTAATTTTATTAGAGGTCCAAAGATGTATTGTATTCTGCGGTAAGTGAAATGAAGCATTCCGCTGATAATTGCGCTTTGAATCACTGCTTTGATTCAATAACACATGGCACATATGAATCAATCGTTAAAGAATCTGAATCTATTTGAGATTGCATATTGCATAAAATATGCGAAAAAGACAATACCTGCTTCATTTATTTTTTGACCGTTAATATTCGATTTCGTTAAATTAAGTCATTTGTTATTCTTTGTTAGTAAAGACAAAACTAAAGTCATAGTATGATTTTCGATGTCTCTCGATATTCGTTAGAAAAAGTATTTTCTTATTATTGGTGTATTTGTTTTTCTTACAGCTTGATAAGCTGGGAAAATTTTTTCTGTAATTCATTTAATTGATGGAATATTTTCGCAGGTAGAACACATAGGTATCAGAGCCTGAACTGAGGTATGAATCACTTTCTTTTTTCCTCCTCTCATCGACCAGTAAGTAAAAATTTTCTAAATTTTCCGAAAGACATGAAATCTACGAAAGTTTACCAAAAAAAGCGTTTTCTAGTTGGCACATAATTTCAGATCCAATACAGTACTCCTCATCATTAAAAATATTTCGTCGTATACAGACACATATATTCTCAACATTTCTTAGTTAGTTTGACGATGTACACAAAGAGCGTTTAGACATTTCACATTTCATTCGGAAAAATGTTATATAGGTTATATATTATAAATTAAACAATAGAGACACTTTCGATGTTTTTTCAGATTTTAACTAATTTTGTTTCCGAATTAGATGAACTGTCGGATTAATTTATATTTCTTCACTTGTAGGTATTTGTAACTCCAATTTGGTTGGCGCAAATTGCATATGAAGCCTTGAAAACAATCCTTTTTCCGCTGTCCTCTTTAATAGTTTTCTAGGTCATTCTCTCTTAGCGTTGGTACATTAAGAAATGAATTATTGTTAATAAATGTCACAAATTTCACTGACTGAGACATTGTTCCTTTCCCTTTGAGTTATAGTTAAGGGAAGTTTTAAAATGATGGCTTATTTTGATATAGCATTCTCAGAGATTTGAGAACGGTGATTACTGTCTCATATGGTTGGTCCATTTCCTTGCTTAGGTATTACTTTTTTGATTGCTTTCTTTCACGTAATATGATGACATGTTTGATAACCCTTAAAGCACGGCAATACTTTTTAGGCTTGCTCAAATTGTCGGAAAATTTTCTGGCTCATCTCTATCTACTACTACTACTACTACTAACTAACGTGATTGCAATGAAAGTATAAGAATGCGGTTAAAGGTTAATATGATTTTGTTTGTTTGCAACATAATTTGAAATGTGGATGTCTATGTGTATGTTTCTAAGGGTACGCCTAACATTTTAATGCTAAATTTATTTTTCACCGTTAAGCAAGTGAAGGCGATAAAAGAGTGGGTCGGCGGGGGAGGGGGTGGGCGATAGTTATTCATCTCAGTCGACATACACATGCTTTCAAATTAATTCATCCGTTTTGCTTTTAACATTGATATTTGTTGTTTCTTTCTTTTTATGATTGATTCATATTAGCCATTAATTTATGCTATCTATAGAATTTCCTCTCCATCCTCGCTCTCCTCCTTCCTTCACAATAAGATAGCTTATTTCACTTATTTTAATCGTTTTACATACATTCATTTCATCGATGTTTTGTTACTTATCCATCTTGTTACATACATTTATATTTACACCCTTTAGTGTTGTTAATGCATCTGTTTCCATCACTTTCATGTATTTTGTCTCGAGCAATCACAATTCATTCATTCTTTCTGAAATTGGTAACAGTGGCACGGAAACGGATAGAGAAGTTAACAGGACGGATGGAATGCTTGACATAATGATGAAAACTAAAGAATATTCTAATTTTGAGATTATAAAAACTGATCGAACATTTTTGCACGGCAAACTATTCATCTTATTTAAAAAGGAAATGACTGTAAATTTAAAATGCTTCGTCCAGTCATATGAGGGTTACATCAATGTGTTGAAATATTTCACTGCTATTCATTGACTGATATGACAAGACAAGCAAAATGTTGCTATCTAAAAGAGTAGAAATTCCTGAACCGACTGGAATATCATAATTATTATTCCTTTTCATCTTTCTTATTCTATTCCGTGCAGTTTTCAAATTTTCTCCGATTTAAGAACTAAGCATTTCAGTAATTAGTGAAGAAAAGGAAAATGACATAATAATAGAAGATTAAGTCTATAACGAAAACTTTGAATCTCGGATTTGTTTTAACTTAAGCCTAAATTTTAATTTGAATTTAAAAACTGTTGCCAGCTTTTAAAGAGAAGTCTGCAGTTTTAAGTTTTTGCCGATCTTCAATATTTTGTTGTTCATGTATTTTCCTTTTTTGTAAAAATTCTGAAATGTTTGAAGAAACAATGCGTTAATGATAAAACAAGAGACAAAGGGAGCGCAAAAATCACAACAGCCATCTGATGGTTCAACATCTTCAGCGGGTCAATGCTTAGCAGAAATACCATGCCAACTCGATCTGGTGA